ATTATTTATTCAATATACTTCATTTTAATATTTTTATATTTTATATAACTTATACTATTGTTTTAATTATTTATAGCAATAAATAAATTATTATTTTATACTACTATTATTTTATGTTAATAAGAATGAATTTTATCAAAAATAAAACATAAATGAAACATTAACAATAAAAATAAATTAAATGAAGAATTGAAAGGATAAAATAACTCTTGAAACAAACAAAGAAGAATGAAACAATAGTATAATGAAATTGACGTTGTGTCAATTATTTTATTAATATATTTTATTAATTCATAATTAATCATTAAAGTTAATAGTCACAAAAATAACAATTAAAACCAATAAACTTTCTTTTTTATCATACCATCTCATTCTTTTATAAAAATATTTTTTTTATAAAAAAAAGAAACATATATAACAGGATGATAAAAGAAAGATATTTCATTGAGTTAAATTTTAAATTGATAGTTTAAATATATCATTGATATTATGTTTTAATTATTAACAATTATTCATAATATTATTCATATGAAGTAATTCTTATTAATATGTTGTTAAATTCATGATTATATTATTACATATTCATCATACATTAAGTAATATAAATCAATTATTTATTTAAATATTTATACTTTCTTTTAATGTTCTTGGTGAGTACTATCTCATAACTATTTATTATTTTTTACATTCCTGCAATATTCAATTCAGCAATTAATATATTTTTGTGATTTAATTTCATCAAACAAATATTCCTTGTTAGGTCAATAACTTTAAATAATAAACTCAATTTTTATTGATTAAAAATATTATCTTTAGTTTATTGTTAAATATATTAAAATATATAATAGTCATTCCATTGAATTATAACATATAGAGTAAGATTAGATAACTATAGTTCAACGACTAGCTCTTTTCTATATGGTGTTATTTATTGTTGTACAGTTTCATATAAAATAGTTATACCATTGTTTTAGTATAATAAGAATTTTTCAAATCATTCTTGATTTAAATATATTTATTTTCATAATAAACAATTCAACATTATTTTTTTTTCTACATTGAGTAATTACAATAGAAATGTCGATTTATGAAGCTATATGACTGTCACCCTTTTTTGGTATTTTTTCAAAAAGACATGTTGTATCATATGAATAAAATGATTGACATTGAAATTCTTAACAATTAAATTTAATTTTATTGTGTTTTTTATTAATTTTGTTTCATATCAATATTTATTTTTAAGACATTCTATTTGACTAAATCTAGTATTAGGACAATGAACAAAGTGAATTAAAAAAAATAAAGAATGATATTTGAATTATTTAAAATACTATTTTTTTGTTATATATTACAATAGAATTTGAACAATAAGCGAGTCAAATAGTAATGAATAATAATAAAAAACTATAATTATAGTAAAACAACTATAAAAATTTATTAACTATTTTGAAATATTTAAAAAACCCTAGTAGTGAACTAAGAAAGAACATCAGCACAATGGTTTGTTTCATTCAACTAAGTGTTATTATTATTGTTAAAAGGAAAAAATAATAGATATGACTAACAACATGTAGCCAAAACAAGTTCAAGAATTCAAACAAATTTTGAAACTTTTGAAATCCGGTTCAATTCGTGCCGTTCGTGTCAAGACCAACGGTGAAAACACTAAGTTCAAGGTTAGATGTGCCAAATACCTTTATACTTATATTTGTGCCGATAAAGCCAAAGCTGAAGAACTCAAGAAGGCTATTCCAAAGGATATTCATGTCGTTGAAATTGCTAAGAAGGCTCCAAAAGCTGAATAATTTGAGTGGGCTTTGTGTTGATTTTTTTATTTTTGAGCATAAATAAAAAGATATAATCCTTTCAATTATCAGTAAAAAAATTTAGATGAAAAATTGTTAGAAAATGTTTGTTAAAAAAACCTATTTTTCTTTAAAGAAATGTAATAATATCTTCCTTCTACTTCATTCTATCTTGAAAAAGACGGTTATAATAGTCATTATCATTTCTGTTTAAAAGTACTAAGAAATACAATAAAAAATGGCTACCGAAGAAGAACAAATTGAAATTATAATTCCAAATGACGCAACCTCAGAAATAGATGATAATATACCACAAAGCCAAAACGGAAAGTTGGCTTCATTAAAGGCATGGCTAAAAAAATCATTAGATGAAACTGCAAGGAAGTACTTATCCAGTGATACTCACTCAGCTTTATACCAGATTTATGATATGTTTAAGAAGCAGATGAATGACTTTAATACGGTTGATGCAATAGCTGCCACGTTATACATTTATGTTTTAGATATTCCATTGTTAGATAAGACTTATCTCACCTGTCAAGGAGTAGACCCAGCCAGATTAGAACCGCAACCAATGTTTGATACTTTAAAATTTTTTTTTGTAGTAAGAAAAATTATTGATAACAATTAATATATAGAGATTTAAGTGAAAAACAATTAAAAAGACTTTTTGAAATAACACGATATACTATTGGAATTTATGGGGTAATGGGAATAAAACCAAAAGACCTTGTAGAAAATGTAGAATTTAAAACAGAAGAATTTAATTTAACAGTCTTTCTTAATCATACTAAAACTAAAAAAGAAGAGGTTGTTGAGTACAGTGCATCTGCAAATACATATGACCCAAGTTATCTTATTTGCGTAAAAAAATCCATGAATGCTATTCTTATAGTATTAAGAGGGACGTTATCTCTTTCTGATTGTGTCACAGATTTAATTGCATCACCAGAACAAGTAAATGTATTTGGAATTGAAGGGCTATGTCATTCTGGTATATTTCATGCTGGTAAGCGAAGGTTTGTTGCACTTGCATCTAAAATGGAGATGCTTCATAGCTTATATCCAGATTATCAAATAATTATTACAGGACATTCTTTAGGAGGTGGTGTTGGTATTGTATTATCTGCACTTTTGTTAGAGACATATCCAGATTGGGATATAAAATGTTTTGCTTTTGCACCAGCAGCTGCATTTTCAAAAGAAATTGCATGTTGTAAACAAATGAAAAATATGGTAATTAGTTTAATTAATAATAACGACATTGTCCCAAGACTAAGTTTAGGTAGTTTTGAATACTTTAAAGGAATGATTAAATGTGTTAAAGACATTGTTGGGATACATGCTAAAGAATTACTTGTTGATTCTGTTAAACAAGTTGAGAATCCAATGACAATTGCATTAAAAATTATTGGAAATAAAAAAGATGAATTGGTTCACTCAATAAACTTAATTACTACAACCCATCCTCCTTTTATTCCTTCTGGTAGAGTAATTCAAATGATTCCAGGAAAGTCAGTGCCTAAGCCAATTTCTCCAGATGGAATTGAACTAGAAGACTTAACTAAACCAAGTGAAGACCTTCCTCAATGGTTTGAAGTACCAAATGAAGCATTTGGAAGAATATTACCAAAGATGTCAATGTATATTGACCATATCCCTCATTCTTACGAATCTATTGTGAACGATTGTATCAAAGAGATTGGAAAGTTTGACTTTAACAAACCTCAAACTAACGGAACTGACTTGTTATGATTTTTTTGCTACTTTAAATTTATTTCATGTCTTTTTTAATTCGAATTTCAAGATATTCATTCAATAAAGTATAATTTTTATATTAATAAAATATAGTTTACTTTTAAGATGATACGAGAATTAATAATATCGAAAATACAGCAGTATAAAAAGGCACTCAAAATAAAGAAAAGAAATAGAAAAGAGAAAAGATGAATATGATTATAGCCATGTTGTTTGCTTTAGGAGTCTTTGCTGAAGACTGGACCGATAATTATAAAGGAGCTCATTATGTATTAGCAACTTTGTTAATTTTCGGATGCTTGTTTATTGTTCTAATTGGGCTTGCAGCTCTTTTTGCTGTAGTAGTAACTCTTCGTGAATGGTTGATTAAAAGAAAAGGTGCCAAAGAAGCAAGTGTTGAGAAAAATGATACACAAGCTCCTAACACTAACTGAAAGAAGTGGAGAAAGCTAATTCAGTTTTTTGTTTTTTTTATTAATAATGCATAGACGTCAAAAAGATAATAAGTGATTACAAAACTAAAGTATGTAATAAAAGAATATATGAAAGAGTCAAGGAAGTTGTTTTATTTTTTGAAAAGATTTTCTTTTTAAAATGCTTAAAATAGAAAATTATAAAACGAACTCAAAAGTTCATAAAGAACTTTAAAAAAATTTAAATGTCGAAGGATAACAAAGAACCAGTCAACCTTAAAAGCATTGAACAACGATTACAAGATACAAATGTATTTCTTCAATCAACATTTGAGCCAGAAATTTATATTGATTCGTTATTATCTGAACAATGTGACTATTCAATAGAAAAAGGGATTGAAGCTTTTGATATTGATCCAATCTTACAATGTTTAAATGTTATTAAATCACGAATTGATAATCAGTTCATTGCATATAAAAGATCAGTAGAACAATTACAAGAACAATGTGTTCATGAAGAAGAAACACATATATCAACAGTAACTAATGCACGAGAGAAATTTAATAAAGCATTAGAAGAATTTAAACAAACAGAAAATGGAGTTTCAGAATTATCTACAGATATTATGCAAGCAGGAGAACGACTTCAAGATTTAACAGTTGAAGCGAATAGAGGAAGACAAGCATCAATGATTATTGATATGTTTACAAAATTTAATAAAGATAATAACTTTGATCCAAGGAAGTATACAGAAGAATATCCAGATATTGATTTTGTTACTCGAATAAAAAAATTAAAAACATTATGTAAAGAACTTCAAAACCCACAAACAACACTTGGAATAGCTAATACAGAAAAATTTTATTCATACATTGAAAATGAATATATGAAAAAGTTTTCAACTGCTATGACAGAAAAAAATATTAATGAAATGAAAGATTATGCAGAATTATTATATTATTTAAATGGTGGAGATAAATGCGTTAAAGAATATCTTAAAAGTAATGCATTTTTATATGATGAAATAGATATTAGACAAGATGAACAATTAGCCGAAACAGATCAAGAAATAGATAATAAAGTATGTAAAATTAATAATCAATGTCTTCAAGCATTCTTAAAAAAAATATTAAATCAAATTCAAAAAGAAAAAAGAGAAATAGAAAAAGTATTTGTTCAAAAAGATATTGTTGTTGCTAAATATGTTCAAAAGATATTTAAATTTAGAATAGCTAATTTTTATAGTGTTTATGTTTATAAAGGTTATGATGAAGACCCTGATTTCTTTTGGAAATATTTATTTAAATGTTATGACGCATATGACCAAATTACTAATTCATTTGTAAAAAGTTTAACTTCATTTGGTATTAATGGTGCATTTCTTAGTGATCTTGTTGAACGAGTTTTTGAAGAAGATAAAACATCAAACTATTCAGAAACAGAAATCAGTTATATTGCATCTGTTTTTAAACAAAACCAAGACTCTTATAATGCTAATAAAAAGTCTATTAAAATTGATAATGTTTCTAAACTTAATATGGATGGATTTAGTAAAATTATAGAACCTACAACTATTAAAAATGTATGTGACCAATTATCATTTGCATTAATTAGAGCACAGTCCTTAACTTTACCAGATTCATTTGATTATGTTATTAGTAAATTATTTACATCATTAACACAATGGTTGGATTATGTTTTATTAGATTGTTGTGAAAGAATGGTTTATTTAACACAAAAACAACCAAACCACCCAGATAAAAGTATTCCATTCTTATCAAGTTATTTAACTTTATTAGATAATATTTGTAAATCTATTTCATTGATTCAAGTGATGTTTGAAAAAAATCTAACTCCTTGCTTTAAATATTCTGTTCAAAAATTAAATGAATATAATAAGCAATTTAAAAATAAAATTCAATCAATTCAATCAACATTATCTACTTCAATAGAAAATCTTTGTAATTGGCTATTAAATTGTATAGAAAAATTAATGAATTATAAAAATGAATTTAAATTTAAAGATGAAAAAGATGAAACATGGGTATTAAATCCAAGAGCAACTTCAATTGGAATTGAAATTTGCAAATATTTAAACAATACGATTAAAATAGTTAATAGTAAATTAACTGGTTTAAATAAAAAAAATTTCTTAATTAGAATTGCTCATGGATTTCATGATTTATTTATTAGAACAATTAAAAAATTAAAAATTACTCCAATTAGTGGTGGGTTTGTATTTATGTATGATGTTAGTGCTATTTGTGATACTGTTAGAGCATTAAAATTTCCTGCTGTTGTACGCCCAATGTTTGAAAATCTTTCATTATTATTTAAGATCTTTTGTACTCCTAAAGATCAAGTTATTCTTATTGCAAATGCTATTTTAGGTGATGGTGGTTTTAAGTATGTTGATCCAAATGATCTTTTCAAATGTCGAACAGACTTTTCTAAAGATATGAAAATTGATTTAATTTAAAATAACTTCTTTTATTTAATTTTAATTAAATTATTCTTGTGAAGTAAACTACTAATAAAACTTATATTATATTGCATGTTCTTATTTGTATTTTTTCTTCATATTCTTTTAATTGTTTCATAAAAGAACTATTAGGACAAATGATTGGTCTACGTTCTAAAACATATTTATAACTATATTCATAGGTCCATTGATTTTTTTTCATTAAATAAGCAATAACAATACTTGCACTTCTTGAAATTCCAGCTGCACAATGAACTAATACTGCACCTCCATTATTTCTTGCCTGTTCAATAAATTGAAAACATTCTTCAAAATAAATACTAATATCCTCTTTTACACTATCATCAATATTAATTTGTTTATAAATAAATAACTCTGGAAATATTGGTTGTAATGGTCCAATTGTTAATATATGAGTAACTCCCATTTTTTGTAGATAATTTTTATTATGTGCATTTGCATAACTTCCAAGATATAAATTATCAATAATTTTATCAAATTTACCATATTCCCTTCCCAAGAATTGACATTGTTTCGGTAACTTTGACTCATAGTATTTTGGTGTTGTAATAACTTCATCATAAGAAATTCGAAATTGTTCCAATTGGTTAAGGTTAGTCAATGAAGGACATTCTTCTACTAAACAATCTGACATATCGATATATGTTAAATGAATTAATGAAACAATTTCCTCTGAGATTTTAGTGATTGGGTTACTAAAAAGAACAAGACGAGCAAGATTAGTTTGAGTATATATTTCTTTTGGTATTTCTTTTAAGTTACACCGTCCTAATGTGATTGATGTTAATGTAGTAACTTGTGATAACACTTTAACAATGGAGTCTAGTGCTGACTGGTTCATAGTTAAATTACATAATTGAGGTATTTGAACAATAATTTGGTTATTAAACTGTGTTGACTCTGCAACTATACTTTGAAGATTTTCACAGTTTAAATTAAAAGAATCAAATGAACATCTAGAAATACTTATTATGTCTAATGAATTAAGACTTAATTCAAGACTCCTTAAAGGACAACCATCAATAGTTAATATACGTAAAGAGCTATTAACGTTCAAGTGCTCTAGTGGATTATTAGATGCTTTTAAAGAACCTAAATGAGGTGGTGTAGTTATTTCTTTAATTGAATTAAAACTAATGTCAAGAGCATTAAGAGCATTTAAAGATGTTAAAGAATCAATACTTTCAATATTATTATGTGCAAGAACAAGTGTTTGTAATAAAGGACATCCAAGAAGAGGACTAACATCTTTAATTGTATTAAAACTAAAGTCTATAAATGTTAATGTAGTAATCCCTGAAATATCAGGGATGTGGTCTGCCTGTATCATAGATACAATCAGTTGTTGTAAGTCAGGTTTTGAACGAGCAACAAAATCAAATAACTCATCTACATTTTCAACTGAGTTTATTGTGGCAATGAATGAATTTTTTCCAAAGCAACGTTTCCACTTTTCCTGTTGAGTGATAAGAGACATATGATACTTTTATCTAAAAAGAATAATTAAAACTAAAATCAAACAAAATGACTTTTGACAAATTTAAAAAAAACTGAAAAAGGGTTTTTTGACTGAATTATTATTGTTATTTTTATGGAGTTAAACAAGAAATATCTTTGTAGTGTTGGTTATTACACTAACCGTGGAGTCTCAAAGATTGACGAAGAAAATGTTGAGTTATCAAGTTATAATGGTAAATGTTTAAATACCAAATATCCAAAATGTTGTGAATGTAATCAAGAGATGAAGCCAATGTTATATCTTCATTGCCCAGTAGAAGAAGATCAAACACGACATGTATCAATTTTTTATTGTCCACATCATCTTTGTTTTAGAGCATTTTCTTCAATCCAACCAAAACAAGAAATAATCAAAAAAGAAGAAAAAACACAAGATGAAGGATTTAGTTTGATTGATATAGATGATTCTACATTTGCATCTCTTATTGCTTCACAACCAAAGAAAGAAGTAAAAAAGAAAAAGTCAGAAAATTGTTGTGGAAAATGGATTGAGTGGTATGAGGAATATAAAACAATTAAAGAATTTAATGATAGTGAATTAGAAAAAATTAAAGTATTTAAGAGTCTTGAAGAAGAGAATTCTGAAGATGAATTTGAAAATGTATCAGACCCTCAATGGGAAAAATTTATAACATCAATGAATGAAAATCCTAAACAAATTGTAAGATATGGTGGAGAACCATTACTTATTAATGAGTCTAATAAAAAAAGACAAGAAGAAGTACAGAAATGTTCGATATGTGGAAATGAATTATTATATGAATTTGAAATACTTCCATCAATAATTTCATTAATAAAAGATATTCCAGAATTTGGTGCATTATTAGTATATTCATGTGAACATTGTTTTAATGGAACTGAAAGTAATATTATAATATTTGAACCAAATGAATAAAAAAAAGGGAAAAATAAATCAATTCATTATGTTTTAGTTCTCTTTCTTTTGTTGTTCTGAATTATTAATTTGTTGTTTTTTCATTGAATAACCAACAAGTCCATATGTGATAATAAAGAAAAAGGTAAGTAGAAATGCATTAATAATCATCATTCCTTTATCTTGTAATCTGCTAAAAGCAAGGTCTTCATCACAAACAGTTTCAATAACATTTTTTAAAGTGAATTTATTTGTCTTAGCTTCTTCAATATTAACAAATTGTTGTTTGTTAAGTTTAATTAAATAAATATTAATATTTCCTTTCTTTAAACAAATTGAACTATCTGTTTCTTCTTTTTTTATTTCACCTTCTTGAGGAAGTAATTTAATAGCATTTTCTTCATTAACTTCTTTTAAGTCAAAAATTAAGATATGTTTTCCTTTAGATGGAAGATGAATTGAATGTACAAGAGATAATGGAAGGTACATTAACACTGAATTACCATCATATTTATGACTAGTTAAGAAATGATATAAAATAAGAGCACCATATCCTTCTCCAATACAAATATGAGGATGATATTCTAATAAAGCATCTAATTGATAATAAAAACTTCCTAAAGGATTTAATGGTGCCATATGAACTATTGTAGTATCAAAAAAGTAATTAAGAAATATACTAGTTAATCCATGTGGTCCTTCATTGGCATTATGAAAATACTGAAGTCTAAAAGGATTAGAGTACATAGTACTAGGTTTGTTTTGTAAGAAACGTTCTTTCTTAATATACTGTAATTCTTTTTCAACGATAGCCATAAAAAAGATTTTAAAATTTTTGAGTTTTCTGTTAGGTTTTTTCTTTTAAATAACTTTTTTTTTGCTTAAATCCACTGCATTTATCATCGATTTTTTATGTTTTATATAACACTTATATCAGTTTTTATGTTTATAGTAAAAATCATCAATTAACTTAACATTGGAGATGAAGTTTGTAATAGTTGAAAGGCTGCTACAAAAGCTGCTGTTTGAGTTCGTTCATTTCCACCAATAGATAATGCTTGTCTTATATGTTAGTAATTAGATATTATATAAAATAAAAGAATGATAAACAAACTCAATAAGAGAAAGTTGGTAAAGACATTGAATTCTAGCGGTTTTATCTAAGACAGAAATTAATTTCCCTTCAATTAATTTAGGTACCACACGAATGATAATATCATTTAAAGAAAGTCCAGCTTTAATTAAATTATCTACAACAGTAAAAGACTCAAGATAAGGTGAACTTAATAACTCTGAAATAATATCATCAATTTGTGCTGGAGTAGGTAATCCAACCATTGTGTATAAAGTTGAATTAGTAATTTGTTTACAAGTCATTGACAGTGCTTGTAAAGTGTTAATAATACTTCTAGCATCTCCTTTTGATATTTCTATGATAGATTTTTTTGCATCTTCATCAATTTCCATACCTTCTTTCATTGTAATATTTTCAACAATCTTTGTTAAAGCATCTGGAGATAATGGGCCAAATCTCATTTTTGCACAACGTGATTGAATAGCTGGGGTTATTAAATGAACTTCATTACAAATGAAAATAAATCTACAATTTGCAGAAAATTGTTCTAATGTTCTTCGAAGTGCATTTTGAGCGTCTTTAGTTAATTTATCACTTTCGTCTAATATAATAAATTTAGTACAATTAGTATATAAAGTACGTGTTGATGCAAAGGATTTGATTTGATCTCTAACAACATCAATTCCTCTTTCATCTGATGCATTTAGTTCTAATACTAATGCAGAGAATTTAGTTCCACATAATTGTTTTACAATAGCCAAAGCTGTTGTTGTTTTACCTGTGCCAGGTGGACCATAAAAAAGCATATGAGGTATTTGGTTAGCATTAATAAATTGTTTTAAAGACTCAAGAATATATTCATGACCAAATATACCATCTGTAGTTGAAGGACGGTACTTTTCCACCCACGGAAGTGACATTGTTTCATATAAGTTTTTTTTATTTTATTTATTTTTATTTTTTGTTATTTACAAAACATAATTATTTCTGAAGATAAAAAAAATCCAATTAAGAATTATTCAATGACCTTTTTTGTTATTTACAAAACATATAAAAAAAAGGAGAGATAGAAAAAGAAGAGAGTGATTTGTTAGAGAGAAGAGAAATGAGTTAGTAATAAACTTAAAGAAAAGAAGAATTATTTTTAGTGAACTGTAATGAAAGGGATGAAATTAAATAAAAACCTAAAAACAAAAAAAAAGAACTTCTTAATACAAAGTGCATGGGAATATTTGTCAGTGAAGGAAAAAGAATTATAGTAACAAATGATTGTATTGGATGTAGTGCATGTATGGATAATTGTCCAGCTGGGGTATTAGAAATAGTTAATGGAATATGTACAGCACCAAGAATTGATGAATGTTTACAATGTCATTTATGTGAAGATAATTGTCCGATAAATGCAATTAAAGTTGAATAAAAATAATTAAATTGTTAATGTTCTAAGAATTTTTACAAAAAGAGGTTTACTTTTAAAAATTAATACTTCAATTTTTTTTTTACATATTAAATAAATAAAAATACAAATCAATTTGATACAAATGAAATAAACTAACAAAATAAAGAAATTTCTTATTTAAAATAAATGTATTTCATTCATTTAATTAAAATATATTTTTATTTTAATTGTAAAAATTCATTTTGAAATTTAATTGGTGCATAATCTTCTGGAGTTCTTATTTCTGTAATAATATTTATATCTTTTTCTATTACAATTCTTTTTAATTGTATTTTATTTGAAATAACTTTTAATGCTTCTATTCTTTTTTCTTTTGTTACTTCTTCTATTTTTCCTACTTTACCATCTCTCATCCATATAATTCTATCTGATAAATTTTTTAATGAAACATCATGTGTTACCATTAACAAAGTCATTCCTTCTTTATGTAATTGAAGTAATAATTCCATAACTATTCCTGTATTATATGAATCAAGATCTCCAGTTGGTTCATCAAGTAATAATAATTCAGGTTCATTTGCTAATGCCCTAGCAATTGTAACTCTTTGTTGTTCACCTCCAGACATTTGAGATGGTTTATGATTCATTCGTTTTTCCATTCCAACTTTCTTTAGTAATTTTATAGCTCTTTCTTTTCTTTCTTTTGCTGATAATTTGCCTAATAAAACCATTGGTAATTCAACATTTTCTATTGCAGTCATTGATGCTATTAAATTAAATGTTTGAAAAACAAATCCAATCTTTTGTAACCTTAGAAAACTTAATAGTCTGTCTTTAGTCTCTTCTGTTATTCTTTTATCACATAATATAATATCTCCTTTTGATGGTTTATCAATTGTTCCTATTAAATTTAACATTGTTGTCTTTCCTCCTCCACTTGTTCCATAAATACATACAAATTCTCCTTTTTTTACTGATAGACTTACTCCTCTAATTTTATTAATACATATCATTTCATCTTAATTGTTATTTGTCTTTTTTGTATTAAATTATTATTTTCAAACCGTAATGCTGCAACTCCTTCTATTCCTAAAAGATATGTTTTATGAACATTTCTAATTGAAATAATATAATTTTGATCATCTATTAACACATCTTTTTCCTTAATTTTATTAGTTTTTATTATGTTTTATTGAATTTTTTTTTACTTTTAATCCAAACCGTTAGTCTAATGTTGCCAAAATAATCATCAATCTTTATATCACTCATCCTTTTTTCTTTCTTATTCTTTGAAATTTCATAGTTCTGTTTTTTACCATTAAATTGTTATGAGTCTTTTAAAAAAATTATCCTGTTTCAAATAACATTTATGTTTTTTTTGTTTTTTTTTTGAAGTTATTAAATATCTCCTTTCTTCATTTCTCTTTTGTTAAAATTGTTTAAATTAATATTCATTTGTCTTCAATATTATAACATTATTATATATATCTTTGTAATTTTGTATTAACTGCAAATCGTTTTATTCTTTTTTGTTGAATAATAATTTTGAAAAATAATATGTTATTAGTAATATTATATAATATAATTTTTCACAACAAATCATTATCCCCTATATCCCCTAATTATGTTTCATATATATAATGTATTTTTATTATTTTTATTTCTCATGATACTAGAAAATAATCTTATTGTTCATGAGTTGAAGAGAAATTGATTTAAAGAATCACCTTCAGGTTTTTCAACATTAGGTTTTGTTTGCATTATTTAATAAATATTAATACATTTAGAGTATTATTCTTTAACTTAAATTTTCATTACTAGAAAGATTGTTTTTATATTTCATTTATTGTATATTTTTAACAGGAATTATGGTGTTTTACAAAACAATTGGAGTTTATAATAAAAGAAGACAAAACAAAACCAAAATCAAATTTTATAGTATAATATTATAATTAAGTTAATTATTAAAAGAACAGAGGTATTTCATAAAATTCCATAAGTCAAAAAATGATTTAAAAATGAAATATTTTTATTAAAAGAAGAGGTAGTTTTTATTTTTAAATCATTAAATTTTGTATTTTATTAACAAAAAAAGATAAAAAGAAACACAAAAAGGAAAAATGGAATTAATTATTAAAACTAGAAGACTCTTTTCTTCCTGATGACTGTATTAATCCTTTTCTTTCTTTTTTTACTACTTTCAATGGAGAGGAGCGTTGAGGAGAAGATGATAAACTACTACTTTCACGAGTTCTACTATTACTTCTTGAGCTAAAAAAACCTTTTCTTGGAGTTGTTATTTCACTCGAAACTCGAGATGTAGGTAATAAAGTAAAAGGCTTTAAGAATTTAATTTCTTCATTAATTTGAAAAGAAAGAGGTTCAATAGACTTATAATAATCTTCCATTGTAACATTTTTTATTGGGGTTTTAATTTCTCCATTAACATATAATCCATAATCAAATCTACGTTTTACCCATTCAAACAATTGTTCAAGAGGTAAAGAGTGAATTGGTGGAAGGTCAATAAAATATTGATTTAGGATAGTGTTATTAAAGAGTTGTGATATTTTAGGTGTTATTGTAATTAATCTCTCAATAAAAAACAAATATTTTTTATAAATTTCATTATCAGGAGTAAGAAAGAAGCTTATAAAGAATGTATATGATATTTCTAAACAACGTATATATGATATTGTAATTGACTTCATTAATAACTCAAGAAGGTCTATAATACATTGAGATTCATAATAATCAGTTACATCAAAATTAAATGATGTTGCTGTATTTAAAAAGATTAATAAACTCTCAACGTATTGAACTGCCCAAAGTTTAGAAAATGAACTTACAAGTTCTTGAGGTCCAAGTTCAACTGTCATAATAGATTGATGATTTTGTTGTTGTATAAGTACTTCTGAATCAAGAAAAATGGCAGCAAGTTGATTAATTCCACTACACTGATCTTGTTCTATTTGACTATGTTTTAATTCAAATGGACGTTCATAATTTAGAAATATTTCAAAACATTTAAGTTTTACTGGTGTTCCAATGCATCTAAAAATAAAATAAAGAAAATGGGAATATTGTTTCCTTGTAAACTTTTGTTGAAACCTTCTAGTTAACGCTTCTTGTGTATCTTTATAATCTATTAAAAATTGTTGATTTAAATGATCAAATAAGTATTTAATATGTTTTTCTTTAACTTGTTTATTATTGTTTCTTGTAATTTTTTCAACTTCTATTTCAGTTTCATTCAATGATAGATAATAAATATGTTCTCTTAATGACATCTTTTGTTTATATTCTTTATTACTATTTAGTTCTTAACAACAATGAAACTCGAATCTGATATTTTTTTCAAAGATTGAACGAAAAGTATATTTAAATACCACAATTTTTATAATTAGTAGGAAAAAGTATTTTTCAGCTTTCGTACTAACATCATTTAAGGAAACTATCCTTTTTTAAACATACATTCTATTATCTTTTTATTATTTTATTGTTTTTTTCTCTTTTTTTCAAGCTAGTCTTGATTTTTATTATCAATACTATCCTAATAAAGTAATGAGTATGTCCTAATAAATCTAATCATAAAGTTTTTATGAGTCTTGTCAAAAAGGAATGAGAAAACTATCATATCCTTTATTAAAATTTAGAATATTAAAAAAAGATATTGAGAATAAATTTTATAAAAATGAATATTTTCTATTGAAACAAACTTTTATGTTTGTTCTTCATTTCTTTGGTTTCAGAATAATATTAATGAAGAGAGGATATAACATATCTTCTTATTTGTTTTGACAAAACAGCAAAATTAAGATATGAGCTTAAGTATACAAAAAAAGAAAAATGATGAAGAATAACGTGTTTTGTTATCATACAAAATAGTAACAATATAACAGCATATTAAGAACACTAATATGAAGTTGTAATAATTGATATATAAGAAGTACAAAAACAAATATCCAAATGTCTCACAAGAGGAAATGGTAGTATTTACTTAAGTTGAAACAGTATTAACTATTTTTTCATTAAAAAGTTTTTTTGTTATTGGACTAACCGATTTTAAGTGTAAAAGATGACAAAATAATAAATAAATTATAATATTCAAGAAACATGAATAATACAGAATGAATGAGAAAGAAATGTCTAATAGTAATAACATAATACTTGCCATCGTAACAATTACAATATAGATTATATTATTCATTTCATTCATCATTTCATTCATTTTTATCATCATAAGTATGTTAACAATAATTCAATAGAAATAAACAGTACCATAATAATTTACAAAATGAAAGAATGAATATCAAAATAAATATCAAATACAGGAATAGGAGAAAT